CCTCACGCTTTCCGGGCGCTATCCGTTACGCCACCAGGGCCGCTTTTACCCTCTCAGCTTAACGGCTTATGCCGTAACCTTACAGCACTCACACGTTTAACTTGGTGAGCCGGTCAGCCGTAATCGTTAGATATCGGCATGGAACCAAAGCCGTTAAGCTGAGAGGGTAAAAGCGGCCCTGGTGGCGTAACGGATAGCGCACTCGCCCGGAAAGCGTGAGGTGCGGGTTCGACTCCCGCCTGGGGCACGACTTTTGCCCACAACTCAGCATTCTTGTGATAACATTCGGAACGCGTACTGCGGCGTTAAACAGCAGTTATCATAACAAAACAGCTTCAAAAATATTCGCTTCAGTTTTCAGCCACGCTCTCCCTCTGGTAGGACTTGAATTGTCTTTACCATTAAGTTTTGTTTCATCTGCATAACTAGAGTGAATCACACGAAATTATGGCGCGGAGAAAGCTGTACAGATTCTGTTAGCGAGCTAGTTTCACAATGGTTTCTGGACAATACAGTCTCAGAGTCTGTACTTATTGTCGTTTTGTTGAGGTGCGACGTGAAGAAATAGCGGCGAAATGTCACCGTCACGATAACAAACCACCGCGAGTGTGCGCTGTTCGTAACCATACAATATTTGCAACTGTCGCGCGCGACGCCGCGTGGTCCTGTCATCATATAGCCACGAAAAGCATATGTGTAGCACGGGCGGCCTAACAGCACAAAAGCTGGCTCAGGCAAAGGCACATCAGTCCTTCAAAGACATAACAGCTCAGACAAGCACTCGCCCAGCACAAACACAATAAAGAGGCGATTGCTAACAAAAGAAAAAAGGAGGAGGGAGGAAAGCAAACACCATTGAGCTCACGTGTTCTTGTACAACAGAAATTTGATGTTCAGTATATAGATAGTCACTTATAAGAGTGAGCCGATCAGGAAAATAGTCGGTTGTGATCGGAAGCAAAGCAGATCTGGAAGAGTTCTCTAAATCTATTTGACAAAGCTAAAAAAACATGGAATCATGAAAGCCTGAAAAATAGTGACAAAAAATTAATGCAAGCTAACCTAACGAGTGACTTCCAATCCATGCCTATTTCCATGTCAGGATTCCATTTCTCTTCTCCCGTTGATCCCCAGGCCCACACACGTGTTTGTTCCTTCTTCGCTTCTCCCACTCTTCGTACAGGGGTGAAGTCGTCGTTCTGAAACCGCATTCATAACTAGTACTAGAGTACTTTTTTAAGCCAAGCTCTAATTCACTACGAGCCCTAGTTCACCCCCCCCCCCCCCACCCCCCCCCCCCTATACGAAGCAAACAAAGCATATGACACTATGAGGCGCAGTTCGGCTAGAAGGGGAAACCGAATGGTACTCAGTTACGTTTGCACATTTCGCCTTGTGAAAACCTGTAAATTCCTGTGACCTAACTGGCTCACTCGTGTTTCTTCGCAGCGTCATAAGAGTTCATGCACAAATTTTACCAAAATGAGACTTGTTATTGACATATACTAACGAAAGTGCACCCTCCAAGCCGAACAACGCCATGAATATATTATACGATGTTCAAAGCACCTTCATGTTGACAGTAGCAGTACTGGTTGTACTCTCGGAAGGAGGTCCAGTCGCAATAAGTGGAGAATCGGGACGATCATTACGCCTAGAAGGCGAGCCGACAACACCTAAACAAGGCTAAAACTGAACCCAACAACGAATGGTGCGGTACGGAGAGGAACAGTTCACATTATCATCACCTATCGCTCAGCGATTCACGAGACGGGACACACAGGGGAACCAAGGGGAAAGGTCAGTGGGAAGGTACAAAGTACTATAGAAAGGTGAGGATGTTCTACCCCTGGCACATCACCTGGTTGGCATGCGGCAGATCATACTCAGAAGTGCGAGAGAGAAGAACACAAGAACAAAAAAAGCTAGAGGAAACGTAGTTTTCAACACCAATGCCCAAAACTTTCAGTACACATAAAAGACCACTTCAACGGAGTTCCAATTGTTCAGTTCCCCCAAAAAAGCTAAACATTTTGTTCTAACAACACTGCAAACTAACCGTTCTCGCGCAGTTTGTTGTCAAGCTCGTTGCCAACAGGTGGAGCTTCATCTATCATATTGATGTGAACCGTACTTGTACCATCCACGTAGTGATGAGCAAGCTTCGATCTCCCTTGAAAAAGAAAACTTTCTGCAGAACCAGTATTAGAGCAGGAAAGGCCACTGCAAATATGATCCAACTCCAAAGGAACCAGACGTTTGAGAAGCTTGCTTTGCTGCTGCGCAAGAAAAACTCGAGAGAGTAGGGTCAAGTTTTGAGCGTGGGACATTTTGGACTTTATTCGACAGCTTTAAAAGGTTTTTAATACAAAAAAGTAAGGAAATAATTATCCAGTTCATGTATTCCTGGGGACGATTTCAACAGAGCAACTAGAAGCAGAAAAAAAAACAAATATTGGAAAAGGAAAACACTCCAAAAGCCTAGTCTCCGTCTCGCACGGCCCCAGACGAGCTGCTGTGACCTCCTTAAAGGTTGCACTATATACCTAGAACGAGTCGTAGAATCTACTTTCTTCAATTCTCCAGCCTAGTGAGGATTGGACCACAGTTCCTTCAGCCAACTGTACGGGGAAAGAGCTGTGATCGAGCTAAGAATGCATTCATACTTTGCGTCAGCGTCATAGGCGACCGCCAGCGTTTGAGCGTTTCCAAGCGCTACCAAACGTCCTGAGCATTCTGAGCAACTAAGAATATATAGTTTTCGATGAACGGTGGTAACGTTGGCGCTCAAAACGTTCAAAACGCCGTCGCAAAGAACGAAGGCGCTGCAATGGTAAGATGGCAGCTTGCAGCCGTGAAGTCAAGTACAGGGACTAATTTGAGACCGATGCCAAGTTTCGGAGGTAGACCAAATCTGCAGTTAACCACTTGAGGTTGAAAAAATCAGTAGGCGAAGGTGTGACTGCTTTGAAAGTCGACTTTTTGGGCTATTAAATTACCAATGAACCGTATGAGCAGTTTCCTATCGAAATACTGTCACCTTTTTCAACAAAGGAAAATATTCATTTCTTACCATTTCGTCAACCGGGAAAACATGTATCCATCGACGACGGTTCGCCGTGATTCTAACGTAGAACTGATCCGGTCGAAACGGATTGATCAGTGACCGGTGTGAAATGGTTTCCACTTGTGACCCCAAACCACGACGATTTGGAAGAGTTGTGCCTCGTTTGTTATTCGGCTGATTTAAGGAGCCTAAAAATCAAGAGCGCTCAGATGAATGATGCTTGCTGATGGATGTCAGGCTTGAAAGTAGTTGCCAATCGTAACGCAGAGAGCAATGCACACTTCAAAACTATGCTAACAGAAGTAACCGATGGCAGGCAAGGACTGCAGGAATGCAGCAAATCCGAGGTGTACATAGGATGGATTCACTGATGGTTATCGTTAGTTAAACAAAACTGTAGCAGTCAAGATGCTCACGCTTTACTTGCCATCAGAAACTTCTGATAAAAATACTCTTATTTTCATTTTTAAGCTTTCTCCACATACACATTCATTTACTGGCCTCTACTACAATCCTCTTTACTGTCTTCTCCAATCGCCTCCTTCTCACCTCCCAACAAAACGCTTCTGCTCAAATGACCCACTCTCAACAGCATTACGCATTGCAAAAGCACATCCTCCGTTATCCAACGAACCAACTCGAGCTGAGAGCGACTGAAAATTTAGAAAAAAATGTTTAGGAAAGAGTGGAACTGTATACCAAGAAAGTAACGCTTACCCTCTCATAAGGAGGATATGTTATCGATTCTGGTGGAACTGGTGGCAGTCCTAATTCTTTACGTAATTCATCTATAGCTTGCTGACCTTTACCTTTCTCTCCAAACCTGAAGTATAAAAACGTAGCGGAATTGGTGAGTTGGAAGGTAAAACAAAGGAAAAAGGAAAGCATTCAGCTCACGTGTAACACGACACAGATGTTGCGTACTAATGCGTGGTTCAACAAGCATGGTCCCTACCAAGACAGAGCTTGTGACTGGGCGTGGACTAGAGCGCTTTCACGGCGGCCTTTCCACCAATGATGCCATCTGTGAGCGCGCGACAATTGGCGAGAAGCCTGTTCTACTGGGATCCAACCCACGCTCCTCAAAACCTTGTTTTTTGCAAGGATGATGACCATACACACCCAAACTGCCCAACACCCAAAGCTGCCTGAGACCGTGTGGTCGGAATCTCCGCGTTATGTACAACCAGTCGCCTCGCCGGCTGACGCCGGCGCGGCTCCTTCTGATACGGCCCGGCTGCGCCGGGCGGGCGCGGCTTCGCCGCGCGTACCTTCTCTCACATATTTCTAGACTCAACTGATATCCGCCTTTTGTTCTGTACTCCACTTTTCTCCGGTGTCTGAAGTACTCTTGAGCTATTTTACAGATTCTTCGTCTGACTCCGCCCACCTCAGAGCAGACCCCGCCCACAATTTTTGTGCCCCACACTCTTCACCGGCGACCCTCTGCTGACCTTAATCCACTTTTTTCCGGTGTCTGAAGTGTTCTGGAACCGTTCTGCAGAATTTTTGTCTGGCTCCGCCCACCTCGAAACAGGCTCCGCCCCCAATTTTGTGCCCCACAATCCTCAGCTGCTGACCTTAATCCACTTTTTTCCGGTCTTTGAAGTGCTCTGGGACCGTTTCTGCAGATCTTTTGTCTGACTCCGCCCACTTCGAAGCAGGCTCCGCCCCCAATTTTTGTGCCCCACAGTCCTCACCGGCGACCCTCTGCTGACCTTAATCCACTTTTTTCCGGTCTTTGAAGTGCTCTGGGACAGTTTTAGAGAATTTTCGTCTGGCTCCGCCCACCTCGGGCTGGCCCGCCCACAATATGTATACCCCACATTTCTCAATCGGCAACCCTCTGCTGACCTTAATCCACTTTTTCCCGTGTCTGGAGTGCTCTGAAACTATTTTACAGATTTTTCGTCTGACTCCGCCCAAACCGGAGCAGGCCCCGCCCACAATGTTTGTGCCCCACAGTCCTCACCGGCGAACCTTTGCCGACCTTGACGCACGTTTTTCCGGTCTTTGCAGTGCTCTGGAACCGAGCTACAAACTTTTAAAATGAGTATCCTGCGGTTTAGGGCAAGCTCCGCCCACTGTGGGCGGATCTCAACACATTTTGAGCGTGCCCAATACTCGCCAGATATTTACATTCTGCACTGAGCTTTTTGCGGCTTCTGAACACTCTCGCGAACCGAGTTACTGAGTTTTATGCGAAGCACCGCCCACCTTGAGTACGCCCCGCCCATTTTGGATGTGTCTGCCACAGTTAGTCTGGCGACTCCTTACTAACCTTATTCCCTTTTTTCCCATCTTAGGCTGCTCCGGAAGCGAATTATGAACATTTTTCTGTGGAACCCCAAAATTTCAGCGAGTGCCCCGCCCACTGTGGGCGGGGCTTCGCATAGGTCAAGTGTGCTTTTTATTTCTTGTCCCATGCTCTACCCATCCCCACCTTGACCCGACCTCTCCTAAGTCGTTCTTCAGGTCGAACCGAATTTCCGGACAGACAAACAAACAAACAAACAAACAGACGAAGCGAATTATATATATGGGATGATATTGACCGGAATGGGCACCAGTTTATTTCTCATCAACTGTTATCGACTGCCCACTCCAACGATTGCTGAAAAACGAACTAGCGTATGTCAAGCCCAGCACCCCGATACGCCCGGTCATCTGCAGCGAACAAAACTACTCATCTCTATACTCCAATTCTGATTCTGATACCTGGTCTGTGTTAGCAATTTGGAAAACGCCTCATTGTCGTAGGCATGCATATCACAATGTTGTACGGTCTCTCCATTCATTACCAAAGTTCGTGGTGCAGACTAAAAACGAAGCTATTCAAGAAAAATACGAGTTCATAGTGTTGAGCTAAGCAGGCCTCTTGCTCTTTTGTGAGTTATGTTTCCAGAACCTCTTTATATCAATCCCATAGACATGTGGGGCGGAAACTCCTCACTCTCACACTTTTCTGAGACAGCATTCAGATTCGCGATCGGATCAATGAATGGATCGTGCGATCGAATCGTTCAGTGGATCGCTCGATTAAAAGTGAGGGCGTTCTATCGCCAACGCCGCAACGACAGCATTCAAATCGGGCTGCGTTCACACAGTGGCAATTTGAATTGCGCCGTTAAGCAGTGTACAGTTTGATCCGGCCACATCGCGCGATCCAATCGCTAGAGTGACCCTACCGCGAAGTCTGAAAGCCAAAATACATTTACTATTATCTCAACAATAAACTATTCTCTATTTTTCCTGCTTTCGGTACCCTTCCTTTGTAAAACTAGGAAACTCTCATCATTCACTCCAGTTCGCACTAGAACTTCCATGATATTCCTATATGTGGTGCGAAGACTTCCTTACTTCATCGTGGCATTTCACACTCACCAACATTACATTCGGCAGGTTAATGCGTGGGCGAAAGTTGATCGATATAGCACTACGTTTGCTCATCCGATAATACGAGTAATTCATCCAGTGAGGTATAAAATAGTCTTCGAATGGTTGTGACGAAGTCCATCGGTTGTGAAACACCAAACAGCGGGCACAGCATGTAGAGGCTGCTCTCCCAAGCACACCTTAAACAAGGAAATTTGTGAAGGAATACTTCACAGTATGCCATTCTGCGATTACCATATCGAGCGAAATTCCCATATCGATGATTCGCTGCTTTGTCATATTCACCATTTCACGATCCACATTCAACACACCACCACCGGGGGTCACAAATATAATCTTAAATATGGGCGATACTGTATCGAACAACTTGTAAACAGGTATGTGACAAGACAATCGTAACGAGCCGCGCTGGCGGGCGTGAAGAGCGACGCCGCATGCGTCAGACGAGTTTCCTGCCCAACAGTTCAAATATGACTGTTAAAGAGAGGGGAAAATTTGACGCCCATCATGAAGTCTTGTCTCCGTTTGCATTCGTCTGAGTTTCGCTGCTTTAATCGCTGCACGGTACTCCGACTGTCTTGTCCGTTTCCCTTGTAGACGCTGCGTTGGAAGCAAGAGCAGAGGCTATTAGGCGCGATGACGCAACCATCCACGACTGTCTTGTCCGTTTCCCTTGTAACGCTGCGTTGGAAGCAGGAGCAGAAGCTATTCAGGTTGATGCATATGTTTTTAAACCCCGGAACTTTTTTGTAAATATCCCAATGGCGAAGCAGCCTAAACTTTAGTGGTATGCACCATCACCATCCACTACTCGACGCCAACGCTCAGGCAGCTTGTCGATTCATACTCCGGAACGACGGGGGCTGGAGATTGCGAAAGAAGGCGCAACAAATCACCACTGTGACATGGTTTTGCACTGGTAATTGTGCGGCATTGTAGCCTGCAAATGCAGGGTGGGTGAGTGATAGCTAGTGTGGTGAAAGAGTATCATGTACACGTCACGCACACGTGATGACGAAATACCAACATCCATGCAAACGAAATATGGAAGGATCAAATTTACAAAAAAAGTCGGGATTTAAGACATACGCATCAACCTAA